GACGCGCTGGCAGCCGCGCTCGCCTCTTTATGCGCGCGGGTTTGTCTGGGCCTGCGGGTTCCAGAGGTTTTCCTGGGGGATGACGGTTTGGCGGGTGACACTGATGTGCGAGTTTCTGCGGGCAATGGGTTGCGATGGTGTCAATGTAGCGCTGGCGGCGGGTGGCATTTTGAATTTGGGGGGTGGGGAGATCTGCTTCTCGGGGCTGACGGCGGACTGGTCGATTTCTGTTGGGTCCAGGAGAGCACGGACCCAGTCGAACATGCCGTACTCTTTTGCGAGTTCGAGGGCTGGGATGGGTTAGTTTGGGATGTGTATATAAAAACAAAAAAATTTTTTGGATAGAAGCAAAGGTGGTTTTTATTACCGAGATCGGGAGATATCCATATGTTCCCAGCGATATCGTCTGAGCTGGTCTCCTTTCTGGTCTTCAGGTAATCGCGTTCAGTCTTCTCATCTGATTGCTTCGCCCAGGGGAATGCGATTTTGAACATGCCCGTGGCGCTGACATAGCCATCCTTGCTCCGTCGCTGTTGCAAGGGGGAGAAAAAGGAATGTTCGAATTAGCCATCTAGATAACAAATAAACATATGCGCGGGCAATGCGCATAGAAACCCGGTGTGATTGATTAGGAAAGAAAAGTAAATTAAAAACTCACCATGAGAAAATAAGCCTCCGGATTCGTCTGTGGCGGTTGAAACGAGAAGATCTCCGACCCTTTGAGGTCCTTGGGCAGCGGCGCCCGCAAGTGTGCGTATTCGAACATGCCCAAGTTCTCCGGCTTCGTCGCGTTGGAAGTCCCTACCTGACCCGGTTTGACAGATAGGTTTGTCTTGCCCAGTCGACGGCGCTCAAGAAGTTCCTCATCTACAACGCGACGGGGAAAACGAAAAAGGAATTCATGTCAGGTTAGCGATGCGTGCATAAATAATAATAATAATAATAATAATATAATACGGATTGATATAGGAGACATTCTCATGGAAACAACCACGTCGATTGCAAAACAAGGACAACAAATACCATCTGATAGAACGCGCAAGGAGGAGAGGAGAGTTGGTATTGGGCAGTGGTGGTGGTGGTGGTGGTGGTGGTGGTTAAATGGAATGTACGGGGGTTCTGGAACACTTACATGGCGGTGAAACCTCAGGGAGGATGAGCGGGTTGATTCTCTTTGGAAGCGGGCGCATTGCGGCTCCTGTGGAGAGGGATTGATGATGCATATACAGAGAGGTAGATATATCCACGAGAAATCAGATGGGTCGAGGATAGTTACAATGTTGAGAGGGAGAGGGTCTGTCGGTTGTGTCGAGCAGGAGGGTGGGTGGTGGTCAGGTTGTTAATGCGACGGGCGGAGAAGATGGATTGGGTTTGCCACGTTGCAGGCGCGTTTGCGTCGATGAAGGCGCGTGTTGGTGTTGGGTGTGGGTGTGCAGGAAGCGCCAGCTGAAGCAAGGCGACGGGAGCTGGGATTTACTCCTTTTTTTTTTAAACAATGGAAAAACAACACAACACAACACAACACGACTGCTGGATAAAGGGGCCCGCGACTGAAGATTAGAGAGGCAGTTCAGGGACGATAAGTCACAGGATGCGTACATTCGAGAAAAACCCCACCCAAAAAAAAAAAAAAAAAAAAAAAAAAAAAAAAAAAAAAAAGGAGAGAGTGAAGAGAGAGAGGGGAAACCGATGGCTGGGGATGGATGGGATCGACGGCGGGTGGAACTTTGGGGCCAACTTCGGGGCCAACTTCGGGGGCAACTTGGGGGGCAACTTAGGGGGGGGGGGAACGCTTTCACTCGCTGCTGTCAGCGCGGGTCGGGTTTAGGCGGGAGGAGAGAGAAAAGAGTGTTAACTATTAGTTATAACTAGTTTTGAACTTGGTAGGTGAGTCAACTACCTAACTAACTAAGGAGTCAACTTGGTAGGTTAGTCAACAGGAGTGGCTGACTAATCGCCGGGCTAACTTCGTTAACTGAAACTATAACTAGTTAGCTAGTTAGAGTTACCAATCATGTGACTTATTCGGTTGTTGGACTGGTTGGGAAGTTAGTTAACTAGTTATAGTTAGTTATATTGGTTTAGTGGGGGCTGGCGCTTAGTCAGCTGCTGGTCTGGGAACAAGCTCTTGCCTCCCTCGAGGCTAGCTTCGAACGAACTAAAAGCTCTATTGGGGCGTTACGGAGAACTGTTCTGTCACATGGGGAGGGAGATGTCTGGTTTCGGTGCCAGTGGTGGCCCATCCGAAGTTAATTGAGCAAAGCTATCCCAGAGTGGCAGGCAGCGGGAGCAGTGAGGAAGCAGGCCAACTGCGGTCACCATACAACACGTAGTTGGTCACTGTGTGCGTCGCAAAATGGGATTGGGATTTCGTGATTCTTCCCATCAGCTTTAGTTACTTTTAGCTGTCCAACTCTCACCTAGCTTCACCTCCCTAGCTATTAGTTGACAGAGGGAGATTTGACACTATAGTCATTGCCGTCATGCTCAACACGGTTCTTGCCACTTGCAGAGCAAGCAAATAGACAACAACGATCATTCATAACTGACTCGCAGCTGAAAATCCATCGCTCAATGCTGGTCAACGCAACACTCGATGGCGCTTCCGGAGAAGTCGGGGTTGCTCCCCCACTCGGCATCCAGTGTCCCTGACCTAGATAAGTATCCAACCCGATACCATCAGATGTGCTTAATTACAGAATGGAAACAAGTAAAGAAAAAGAAAAAGTCAAAAGGGTTGGTTACCTCTCGACGATGTGTGCTGCAGCGCGTGTTCTTGTACTCCGGGGCCCCTTTTGTGGGGGTTGTTAGTTTTCTGTCTCCCCCGGCAGTCATCGGAATCATACCACGGATCTCCTCGTTCCTGGAAGTCCCAGGAACTCCACACATGGCTTGGGAATGGGCAGCGAATTGCTGAACGCTCGGCTCGAATCTTTGAACGATTGACCCGGACGGACGCCATTGGCGGTTTCAAAATGCAACATGCAACAACCTCTGTGGCTAAAACATTGCTGGCCTTGCTCTGATTCCAGCACAAACAGGTGGTCTGGGCCACTTTGTGTGTGTTTTGAGTTTCAGTTTTTTTGTGGAGACAATCACTCCCATTGACTATGATACTATTTATTTGTTGTCACGAAGAAGAGGGGAGAAGAGGGGAGAAGAGAGGAGACTCGCAGCTTTGCAAATCAACGCCGCTCCTCGACGTCAGGACCGAAACAGGGTCCAGGGGAAGTGGAAGAGAAAATCATCATCATAATAATATAATAATAATAATAATAATAATAATGATAATAATTTTTATTATAAAGTAAAATCGCAAAAGTAAAGCGAGTCGAAGCAGTCCACACATGAAAATAGAACTTGCCAGCGTAGAATCAACCTGGACCATGGGAATATGATTCCTCAACCTCTGCATTATTTTTACCTACAGGAATAATAACTGCTAATAGCTAATAACTAACCAGCCCGCTAGATAAACCGTTGGTTGGACTCTTGGCCGTTGCTCCGCCCGTCAGTTGTCATCGCAACCCCAACCAAATGCAACCAACAGTGACCCCCGCGTAGTGAGAACCGTTACAGCTCTCTCACCTCCTCAATTCTCTCAGCCTCTTCATTCATTTTCTCTTCTCTCTCTCTTTCTCATAATCTCAGATCCCTTTTTTTTTTTTTTTTTTTTCCTCCCATTTCCCCCCCTTTTTTCCCCTTTCTTCCCGTCCTCCGTCAGCCTCATACAAAATCACCTCTTTCCATACCCCGCAACCACACTGTGATAACGCAGTTCAAAAAACATCTTACCTTTTCTCTCCCAACTCCGCTGCCCCTCCAAAGACAACCTTCCTGCAAAGATGACCCACGACCATGACGACGACTTGGCCTCAAGCAAGACTGCTGGCTTCAAGGTTGGCGAGAAGAAGACTCTGGAGGAATATCATCAGCTAGGTATGTGAGATATAAAAGTATATCTACATCTGCAATTCTCAATTTCTTTTTATTTCATCATGCAAAAGCAAAAGTGCGTGGGACATCCTGGGGATCGGGCTGTGTCTGGTCTAGACGGAAGGAATGGCAGCAGAGCCAGCATTGTCTTGTTGGATGAATGCAGGACTTGGAGCTACCAGCCTGCCACCCCACTCAACCTCCTACACATGTCTATGCCTCTCTTTGCGGAGTTTATACACATGGAATCTACCCATATATGGGCCTGGTAATGGCGGTACGCTAGAGGGAGAAGCAGAGCGATCTATGCCTCCATCTCGTCGAAAAACACTGCGAAGAGGATCACTGGAAACAGCAACAAAAAGACACCGCACTTTCAATATAATATCCCCATTTCCATACATGAAGAAACACACACCAGCTAACCCCGCCTAATTCAAACCACCCCCCACAGACGCAAACGACGAATCCCTCAAACGATGGAAAGCCTCTCTAGGCCTAGGAACCGGCAGCTCGATTTCGGACCCCAACGACCCACGCAAGTGCATCATAAAGTCCCTCGCGCTCGAGGTCGAGGGCCGCGACGACATCACCATCGACCTCTCCAGCCCGGGCTCGGTCGACAAGCTCAAGGACCAGCCCTTTACTATCAAGGAGGGATCCCGTTTCCGCATCAAGGCGACGTTCGTTGTGCAGCATGAGGTTCTTAGCGGGTTGAAGTATATCCAAGTTGTGAAGAGGAAAGGGGTGAGGATTAGCAAGGATGAGGAGATGCTGGTGAGCTGGGTTTCCCCCTTCCCTCTGTTTTCCTAGATGGCTAGAACATTTGCTGACGTAGGAATTTCCCTTTTTTTTTTTTGGGAGAGGGGTCGGTTGATAGGGGAGCTACCCGCCCAACACCACAGATAAACCGCTGTATGAGAAGAAGTGTAAGTCCGTCGTTCCAAGGTTGGTTGTGCCGGAGTTTAAAAAGAAAAAAAAAAATTAAAATTAAAAAAAAAAAACCTTCTGACTTTTGTCCTCACCTACCTGCGTAGTCAATTCCGAAGAAGCTCCGTCCGGCATGATTGCTCGAGGCCATTACAACGCACTCTCCAGATTCGTGGATGACGATGACATCACCCATCTCAAGTTCGAGTGGTCCTTTAACATCGCCAAGGATTGGTAGTTTAGTGGGGGGGCAACTTTTTTTAAGTACCAGATCGATCCAGCTGAATTCTGTTGATCTTGTCTTCTCTCATTCTCCTCTTTCTCGCATTCAAACGAATTTCTTTTATATCTATGCCTTTTTTTTTTTCTCTTTTCTTTTTTCCCCCACTTCTTGGTACCCCAGACCAGGACACCAGTTATAAAAAGGCGGACATTGCAATGAAAGAAGGGGGAAAAAATATTGAAAAAAGAAACTTTTCTTTTTAACATACCTGAGTTTGACATCCTTTGTTATCCTTCGCTTAGCGATGACTTGACCAATGATTGATAGGATAAAATTCTAGCAGCCAGCGCCGGCCAAATACTCCGCCCAAGCGCGACTTTATTTTATTTATTTATTTATTTTCTATCTCTTTCGTTGCAGGCCTTCTTTATATAAATGATAGCCAAACGCCCAACCTATGCTTCACGACAAATAAAAAGCACCGATTATTCATGACAAAGGAGGGAAGGGATAGATAAAAAAAGAGCAGTAGATCATTTAACAAAATAAAAAATCTAACAATAAACCTAAGGGTATCATAAGAAATATTCAATTACAGGATTATGCCCATCCTTGCCGGGCTGCTGCGCCTGCTGTTCCCCACGGTGTATATCGTTATTCTCAGGCGCAGCATCAAATATATTAAAGTAGCGCTCTCCCGTATCGCTAACCTCAAGAACACTCGCGAGGTTCCCGCATCTGTAGCAGTAATTCGGCGCGCTCCACACGGTACTTAACCGGTCGTCGTAGAGCACCTGGTACCCTTCCTGACATAGCTGATGCGCACGGAGGATATGAGACATATTATTCACCTCAAGGAACTTCTTAACCACCTGTGCACCAAAGGTATACCCCGCCCCCCTCGGCGAGAGCGAAAACTCATCCCGCTCCGTATCCGGATCCGACCAGACGAGATCAGCCATGGGCCCCTCATGCGGGATCTCGCGAAAGCGATCGATAATCTTGATCTGGTCGATGGAATGGATGGACGGCGATAGACCGCCGTGCACGCAGAAGATCTGATCGTTGATGACGACGCTGAGGGTGAGGAAGTCGAACATGTCGGTGAAGTAGTGCCAGACGTTGGCGTTGCCGTATTTGCGGGCGCATTCGGTGTAGAAGCCGTAGGATTGGGTGACGCCGCGGGACTCGTGGTTGCCGCGGATGAGGTGGACGCGGGCTGGGTAGCGGAGTTTGAGGCAGACGAGGAGCGAGATGGTTTCGACGCTAAAGAGGCCGCGGTCCACGTAGTCACCTGTTTTAAATGCAGGTTGGGAAGAATGGGGGTTGTCAGTCTTTGTTTTGTTCGACTGGTGGACTTATGAATGTATATATATATATATATAAGTAGCGTTGCGCGTCCATACCGAGAAATAAGTAATTTGTGTTCGGGCAAAAGCCTCCAATCTTAAAAATCTCAATCATATCATAGAATTGGCCGTGGATATCTCCGACGACAGTGACGGGGGCACCGATATGGACGACGTTGCTCTCCTTCATGAGCAATTCTTTCGCCTTGGCGCATATTGCCTCTATGACAGAGTCTGCTAATAATTCCTTCCTATAGAGTCGCTCGATGCACTCATCTAAATCGATGCTGGCTGCAGTATGTGAGAAATGTTGGGTCATTTATCAGTCGCCAGATTCATTTTATGTTTTATGCTTCTTGTTATAGGAATTCACATGGCAGCGTCTGTAACTTTGAATTATTCATCGGGCATAGACCGAACTTACACGGTAGTCCTGGCATTGCCACTGGACGAGAAAGCCGATCAAGCCTCTAATTTAAGAAAGAAAGAAAAAAAAAAAAAGAAACAAGAAAAAGGTTTTGGGGGGGGGGGGGGAGGAGAGAGGAAACAAGAGAGTGACAGTTATATTTAAAGAAACAAAAGAACAAAAGGATTCAGGGAAGTAGGAAGGAGATCAGATAACCGGGCGCTGCAGCTTTCATGATGGTCCGGCAGTTCGAAAGCGCAGCATCAGCGAGGCGATTAGGCTCGTTCAGCGGCGTCAGCGGGAGTTTCTTTGCTTGCGCTATGCCATTCAGAGTAAAGTTTCTAAGCCAAGATACTGCACCGCCGGTGGTGGAGATAGCCTTGGCGTTCGTTGAACACCTTATGGGTGTTGTGCTGTATAGAGTATTGGGGGATGAAGAGGTGTTTGTGGTTCTTCGTTTTGTCTGTTCCTCTGGACGGTTGAACGAGAGAAATAGAGATAGTGGCTGGCTAGCGGGCAGAGTGGCTGGTGACTAATCAACGACCGATACGTAAGCGCATGTGGCTGGAGCTGGTTAACCCGAACTGGTTTAGGGGCAACCAGCTAGTGAAATTAGTCCCGATTCGAATTACTAAGATCTTCGGCAGGACACCGGCAAAAGGTGACTAATGGTACCGCCACTGCTTACTTAATACAAGTCGTGTCTTGAGGGTTTCTACTAGTTAACTAGTTAGTTAGTTACCCTACACATCCTCCTCACCTTTCCATACAACCACTAAAATGTCCACTTGGGGGCTTCAAACACCGTCATTGTCGGATATTGCCCAATGGCTATGGTCAACATATATATCCTCACCGTCCGCTGGGGCTTCAAACACCGCCCATCGTCGGATATTGCCAAGCTCGGCGCCAGGTGTATCACGTGACGCTCTCCCAGCCGGCTCCAACTTCCATCCGTCTTACGTTCGGTCGTCGATGTTCGTTTCTTTCACAATCTGTCTTCAACCTCATCTCAATCACCGAGGCTGAGTCTTTATCTTATCCTTACGCCCTGTGCATTCTATAGTGGCCTGCCGCCGCCCGTTTTTTTTGGTTATTCCCCATGACTTCTGGACCCCTGGATACATATAGTTATCATCAGCATCTACCATTTTGCGGAACCCCTTTCCTCCCGCCTCTAGGGCGTCCTTTATCGTCGGGACCCCGGGGGTTGCCAATCCCACTTTTGGCCCATTATTCTTGAATAACATCCGTTGCGCTTTTGATTTTTACTTCTTGCCAAACATTTCCTGCACCAATTACTGTATTGTTTTGTTTCATCGGGAGTTTATAGTCTTGCCACTGGTGGTCTCGGGCTACTAAACTTTTCTCCGCCTTTCCTTGGTTGCAGGATCCATCTCCGCGTTTCTGGTTCATGAGACCGGAGAGGGCCTTTTAAAATTGAAAATTGATTGCCCTTTGCAACCGTTCTATATATATTTGTTTTATTATCTTATACTTATTTGAAAATCTGGCTGATTGTGGCCTCCGTGTTTGATCGGATAGCGCTAAAAAATGGACTCGCATCCGATGCCTGGTGATGGTGTGCAGCCATTCCACCCACAACCAGTTCCATCCGTTGTCAACCACAAACAGCGGGGCCAAAAGCATCCTCGCAAGGGAAAACAGCGCCAGAATCACCCTTCTGCTGGCAGCAATAATGGCCCCCCTAAGCACACCCAATCCCAATCATGTTACAACTGTGGTTCCTTGGAGCATTGGGCCCAGCAATGCCCGGAACCCCGCCGCGAGTTTCCCACGTAAGTTCGAGGTGATGGCTTTTCATACCGCCGTTAATGGCTAACAGACGCTTTTCGTAGGGGTGGTATGAAACCTGGTCGTCCACCAAAACGACAGAAAACTACAGTTTCTTACCATGCCCATTATCAGGGCGACCCGTTTTACGACAAATCGCATCCGGGCCCTCAAAGGGGTTATACTCACCCGCCCGTAGCACATCCAACATATCAACCCAGACCAATGTCAGCCTCAACATATGGCTCTCCAACATCCATGTCTGCCCACCCCTATTCAGCTGGTCCATGGCCCCATGAACCCTTGCCCCCGCAATATAATTCACCCCAATCGTATGGATTGCCAACGTCCACGAGTGCCTATAACCCGCAGTTCTCAAGTCCAACTGCTATGCCGCCCCCCCGGGGCTATTTTCACCCTCAGTACCCATCTCAGTTTGCGGAGCCCGAATATCATCGAAAGTCTTTCGATCGTCACCAACAAATGCCGCCACACGTGGGTAACAATCGGCAATCTAGGAAAAAGTGGCGTCGTTCAGATAATGTACCCGCAATCGCTCTTCCAGTAGAACCCTGGATGGAAGAATTACAGTCCCTTGACATCCCCGAGTCAAACTCTGGTCAAAATGAAATTGGTGAGTGAAGGTAAACAAATTTAATGCTCAGAAGTGGCTTTTTGCTAAGTGATTTATTAGTTTGGAGGCCAGCTGTTCAAGTTGCCCGCCCTCTTCCTTCAACTTTTGATGAACGTGACGATATTGGAATGCTCCCGCCCTTTACGACACTGCCACCTGGCATGTCTGTGTCAAAATACATCCTGGACAAGGGTCCCGAGGAGTTTGTCGACAACATTAGAAACACTGAGGATTGGCCATTCGTAATGGCAGATCCCATATTTTTAGAGATTTCAACAGAATGTGAACTTGTATCAATCGATGAGCTCATCTCGCGCCGCAAGCTGATATTTGAAACCCATCGTATCGAACCCCCCCCTCCAGTTGAGGAACCCGACGGTGGCCTGGAACAAGACGACGAAATAGATGGAGAAAATCACTCTCAAGAAAACTATGGCTCCGTCGTCAGTTCAAATGAAGCAGGTGACGATCGAGCCATGAGTGGGGGGCATTCCAGTGAATACTCACACACGCCATTGTGTAGTCCAAAGGCGGGGTATAGAGACGATATGTCCTCTACTGGATCATACCAAGCCGATGATAGAGGCTCATTCAGGGAAAGTGCATCTCCAGATGCACCGGAGGATCCAGTCTCCCCTGATCCGAGAACAAATTACGAGTATCACGAGTTTCAGGATCGCCAAGACTCAAAACAACACTATTCGTAAGTTTTGTTTTATTTCTGCCAGCCATATGGACGAATGATTTCCTTGTGAAGTCTTTTTAACCAAACCAAGCAGCAAACCTGGCAAAAACTCCACGAGTGACAAACGGCGGAATCAACGAATCCAGCGAGATCGCAGACAGCAGATGGATTTTTCAACCCGCAAATCTGGTCAGCTCGATGGCAGGCGCAATGCGCCATTTGACTGTCGAGGAGGACGTTCTGGTTATTTGAACCCCCAAGATCGACGAAAGCAAAAGCAGCAGCAGTTCAAGGGTGGTGCTAAAACAAAAGCCAAAAAAGTGCCGAATAATCGTGGGCGGCCACCGTACAATTCCATTTCAGAGGGCCATCTTCACGAGAACTATGATAACAGATGTGGTCTGGATGGCAATACCGGTCGCAGTCATAATGAAGACCCAAGTCAACCCAAACGTTCCCATGGCTATGCTGACATTCAACAAAGCGATCACCATCATCCCCATGACCAGGTTGATTTCGAGCATAACAGTCGAAAAAGGAGCAGGCAAGATGAGTCTCTCGGCACACCTGAAGAACCCATGCGCCAAGAAGATGATATTACTCCAAAGATAAGGCGACGTCAACCCCATGTCGCAGAGGCCTACAGGTATGACTTGCATCAACCTAACATTCTTGCTATTCACTAACAATTTCTAGTCGACGATGGTGAAAACCTCTCTAATATATAGCAACTACCCGGCATTGCAATGCCTTTTCTCACTTGATATCCCATACCCGTTCTATAATCAACCATTGCACTCTCCTTTTCCTTCATATCAGGGCCAATGGCCATTTTTTGATTTATATTTAATATATTTAACGAAATTTGGTTGTTTGCATTGGGGGCATTTTGGCTTGCATCCAAATTTCCCCTTTTGGATTTTAGTTCTACATCCCTTTGTGTATTTTGGATATGACCCGGGAGAGAACAAAAACTTCGTTCCCCCGAATGCACCTGCTTCAAATTTTGTAGCCACAGGCGGGCCGTTCACCTCCCCTCATTATATCACCGCTTATTTTTACTCTTGTATTATTTTTTTGGTTCATTGACGTCAAACTTCTTTCCACATGGGATCCAAGTTTGGTATGATTATCTATGTTATTATTAAAATCCTCACGTGGGCCGATGTCAACCACAGGAACTTTCCATACCCTCCCTACACAGCCGCTGCCTTCTGGTCTTGGACAAGTTTTTTATTCTTTTCTTTCCCCCTTTTTGGCCTTTTGGACAGGATTCATAAGTAAACAGAGTGCATCGCCAGGCGACCACTTTTGTGTAACAAAAATTCTTTGCTGAAATATCTTCTGTGGACATATCTCATTCCCCTTTTGCAGGGCATGCAGACAGGAGAAAAGACAGACAAAGCATCCCTGCTTCCAAATCTGTCTTCTGCCTCGCTTTGCCAGGCAGAGTAAAGTCCACAAGCGTCGCTTGTGTTTTATGTGCGTGTGGAGGCCTGATGTAGCGTTTTGCGGATGTTGAGAAGATCCAAGGAATCTCAAGTTCGGTTGGGTTATCCCAACAGTAGTGCTGATTTGTTCCAATCCATATGTCATTACATACATTCTTCCTTCCATCCACGCGTCCATCCAATCCTTTTAAAGATGACGACAGACGGACGCAGGAATTTGTGTTAACTGATACGCCTTCTACCCCGTGGATGTGTCATGCCATACCATATCATGAAAAACATGGTACACATCCACCCCAGTTAGTCGATGGATTACCTCTTCCCTGGCCCTGGCCGAGGCCGTGGCCGTGCACTTTCTCGACCCACGCGCTGGGAGGGTACGGCGATATACCCAAGCGCACCAATGGGATGGTAATCCCAGTTCGCTGGCACGGTATATAACTGAATAATACCGCGATGTATTGTGTTTATACGTTATTTGTTCTATGCGCAAAGCTGACACGTAAAAGCAAGGCAAAGCGATGGTGCTGTTAAGCTACATCTTCCATCCGTACTACATCCTTCTGGATGGGCGGGTTAAAGATTAATGCAGACAGAAGGTCATCTCCTCATGGTATGTTAAGCTGGGTTAGCGCTAGTCTGACAAAGTCGACTGGTGCCAAAAATAAAAATAAGAACCCTCCACTTAAAATGGGGTTAGCTAGCTCCGCCAGTGTGGAATCGGCATTGGGCTGACTTCATACGGCCATGCTTCCTTCTTTTCTGTCCTCAGATTTTGCTGTCTTTGAGTTGGTATATATCAGTAACGAACTGAAGATGTAAGTTATGGTGGACAGACAGCAGAGGATCAGGTTCGTTAAGGAAAACAAGGAAAGAAGTGATGGTTGTTGTACATGCACACACGCTGCTGCTCTTCGTTAAAAACACCAAAGCTGGCAAAAAATAAAGAAAAATAAAAGGGATTAACCACTTCAGATCTGCTTTCAATTTGGAAGGTCGTACTGGGAATCGAACCCAGGTCTCCAGAATCAGAATCTGGCGTGCTAACCGCTACACTATACAACCATGACTTGTTGGATGGCGAATGCCAGAATAACTCTAACGAAATTGAGTTTTCATCCTTACCCGGTGAAGAAACTCTTTATCAAAACGGGCTATGTCTGGATGATTAAAATCTTTAAAGGGCGTGGGAAAAGTTCCCTGCACATGATAGAAACATATCATGAACAAAAGCGTAAGTAAATTCATCGCAGTGCTTAACAAAGACATTGAGGCCTGCTGAGAGTTTGTTCACCAGTGTCCAATCAACTAAAATAATCGGCATTGGTAGCAGCAATTGAGACCTGGGATTTTTATAGTGCCACTAAAGCAGCTCTTTCACAGTATGGTAGCCAAAAATTTTTTGCAACTTCTAAATTTCCATTGTGTTGAGACGACACTTCTATTTGATCCCCAATGGCCCATATGCCATTGTTAGGGCGAGCGAGCTGGAAAAAGTTTGTTTGGAAAAACTACAAAGTAAGAGGTCGTACTGGGAATCGAACCCAGGTCTCCAGAATCAGAATCTGGCGTGCTAACCGCTACACTATACAACCTTGTCTTGCTGACAGTCAGAGGAAACCATTATTTTTTGGATGATATTACCAACCCCCCCCCCCCCTCCCTCTCCCCCCCCTAATTTTACACAGTACTTACCCGCGGCACTCATTCATATAGTGTAAGCACAATATATCAATAATCTGCGGTTCAATAATTGTTGATTTCTTGCTTATCATCTTTTCCGTATTTGAATTTCAAGTGTAGCAAGTAAATTCTAAGTATGTTCATCGTCGGTGTGCAGGTAACTAGCGTCGTTGCATCCATATTATCTGCCGGCCCTGCGTGCCTGACATTATACTATATTCCAACATCGGCATAGAAAACGGGTAAAATTCATTTGCAATTATCAAACGGCAGACCCCCGTCGCATCTAAATATCATGAAAGAAAATTTATTTCCAAATAAAATATCCACGC